GATCTCAGAAACTGCATCACAGCTAGAATCATCAAACTTTTTTTAGATTAAAATATATTCTAGTGCATGAAAGGGCACTGTGTGTGTGTGTGTGTGTGTTTGTGCGCACACACACATATTTAATAGCCAACATTCATCATTTCAACAGCTTAGGCAAGTCAACAAAAAAAGGGCACATTTTAATTTTAAATATTTTTTCTAAAATAGAAAAGACTATTCAGGGGAGACAGGTTGAGCAGGATGAGGGGTGGCTGAACATGCACAGAGAAAAGTCAGATCTGAAGTTAGGCTTCACTCCCTAAATTTTAATACTTTGATGTTCTGTTCCGTAGCTGAATTTGAGTCAATAAAGACAAAAGGTAGAAAAAAATAAGGGTAGGGAGAAAGTAGAGGGAGAGAGAAGATGAGAGCAAAGTTTTTTTTTTTTTTTTATTGCTCTTAAATTGAATTTCTTACTATTGAACAGGTTAATGTGATCAGAGGACAAGGCCAAGGTCTAACTCAGCAGCAGGACATCTAACAGCCGAGTATGAACAACCATCACAACAGGGAAGCAGGTCATTGCTCTGTTAGTTATTCTACAAATGGTTCATTGAAGGAAGACTACTTAAGTCTTTAATTATGTCTTTATTTTAATTTTACTTGAAAGTGAATGCGAGAGATCTGCCATTCACTCCACAAACACCTGTAACAGTCAGAGGTAGGCCAATCTGAAGACAGGAGCCTGGAGCCCCAGGCAGGTCTGCCACCTGGGTGGAAGGGACCCAACTGCTTACGTCATCATTGACTGCTTCACAGTTAGCGCTTCCTGAGATGCTGTAACAGAAGCAAGGAACAGGGACTTGAACGAGCTACTGCAATGTGGGACTTGGCCATCTCAAGCTGGACTGAGTCTTTACATGAACCAACCAAGGTCCCATTTCCCATCCTCAGTGGTTGAGATGTAGTAAGAAAACAGATCATTTATTCAGAGGTCACCCCCTGTTTTTAAATTTGTAATGTACTCCTGGCACTTGCATGTTTGCCAAGCTGATTTTCAGAGCCCAGGAAATCTAGTTAGCACCCAGAATACTTTGCAGGAAAGGTCACAGACAGCTGTGTTCTGAGCACGATTTGATTTATGCTTAGTCATCCAGCATCGCACAGGGTGAAGGAATGAAACAGCTAACTATTTTTTCATGCCTTTAAACTGTGAATTGCTGGTGCTATCTGGCAAAGTGTTGCATCTTCATATCCACCCAAATCTAGAAGATCGGAGATCCTTATGAATATGCTTAAAAGAGTTAATTAAGTAAAAATATTGTTTTCTCTCAACATGTTGGACCACAACACAATCTAGTGGTATTTTAATAGAAAATAATTTGTGAAATTCATTTATGGATGATTCAATCTCCCCAAGGTCTTTAGTCATAAGCTGTCACCATTCCTTTTGGTGAAAAGGATGGCTATAATCCAAATTTATTAAACAGCTGATAAACGTAGAAGTCTTTCAACATATTATTTTTTGTAAGGTGCAAAGAATTACATCTGATGATATGCTTTTGAGAAATGTACTCTCCATCTATGACAGTGTGGCAAACATTAATTAGTGATAATAGCTGACAGTATAAGCATACAAGGTGAAACATCAAAAGAATAGAACTGTCACATGGGTGTTTTAATGCAATTTATTTAAATTTTTTGTCTTATATTCATTTGAAAGGAAGAATTGCAGTGAGAAAGAGATAGAGACAGAGAGAGAGAAAGAGAGAGAGATATTTACTATCCACTAGTTTATTCCCTAAATGGCTGCAGAGGCCAGAGCTGAGCCAATCCCAAACCTGAAGCCAGGAGCTTTTTCAGTGTTTCTCACATACGTACTGGGGCCCAATGACTTGAGCCATCCTCCACTGCTTTCTCAAGCTATACCAGGGAGCTGGAGGGGAAGTAGAACTGCCAGCACACTAATGGCACCCACATGGGGTAAAGATGTTGCAGGCAGAGGCTTACCATGCAATGCCCTAATGTAATTTCAAATGGTCAGAATTTAGAAGAATATTTGGTCATAGACAATATGTTTTTTCTTAAGCTATTTATTATTTTTATTTGAAAAGTATATGTTGCAGAGAGAGAAAGAGATAGAGAGGTCTTCCATCCGCTGATTCCAAATGGTTCATCTGATTTCCCAAATGGTCGCAATGGCCGGAACTGAGATGATCTGAAGCCAGGAGCTTTTTCTGGGGTCTTCCATGTGTATGCAGGAGCCCATTCTCTTCTATCTTCCTAGGTGCATTATTGGAAGCAGGATGGAAAGGGAAACAGCCAAGACTCTTGGAACTGGAATGCCAGCCTCGCAGACGGAGCTTTACCTGCTATGCTACAGGTAAATAGACAGTATTATTATTTTAGGATTCCAAAGGAAATGTTGTCATAATAAATTTAAGAACTACTAAGCAATTTTTACTGTGTTTTATTTATTTGTTTTTGAAGACTTATTTACCCATCTATTCAATTATTTATTTATTTATCTATTTGAAAGGCAGAGTAACAGAGAGGCAGAGACAAACAGATCTTCCATCCACTGGCTCACTCCCAAATGGTAACATGAGCCAGACCTGTAGCAGGCTGAAGTCAGGAGCCTGCAACTCCATCCAGATCTCCAATGTAGATGGCAGGGGCCCAAGCGCTTGGGCCAGACTATCTGCTGCCATCCTGGGGACAGTAACAGGAAGCTGGATTCAAAGTAGAGCAGAAGGGACCTGACAGGTGCTCTGATGTGGGTTGCCAGTGTGGCAAGCATAAGTCTGGCTCACAACTTCTAATTTATCTTGCGACTGGCCCAGACCTGGCAGTGCAGTCATCCAGTGAGGGAACCAGCAAATAGACTTCTTGTCTTTCCCTCTCTCTGCAACACAGACTTTCAAATAAATAAATCTTAAAAAAAAAAGTATCAGTTTTGCTTCTATTTATACATATGTATTTTAAAAATCAGAAATAGCCAATTAAAATTTGTTTATGTTACAATTTATTACTCTCATACAGAAGCAATTTACTCAAGACTATTTGTTAAAAATATTTGTTTTAATTTTAATTGGATGACAGATATACAGAGAGAAGGAGACAGAAAAGGAAAGAGATTTTCCATTTGCTGGTTCTCTCCCCAAATGGCTGCAACTGGTCAGTCAGAGCTGAGCCAATGCAAAGACAGAAGCCAGGAGCTTCTTCAGGGTCTCTCATATGAGTGCAGGGCCCCCTTACTTTGGCCCATCCTCTGCTGTCTTCCTGGCCATCGGCAGGGAGTTGGGTGCAAAGTGGAGCAGTCAGGACACAAGCCTGTGCCCTTACAGTATGCCACCTTTCCAACCCCTTAAAATTATTACCACAAGAAAAAATATTCTTAATCACTGAGAAAGTTAGAGGAACTAATTAATGGCAAAGCCACAAGTATGTTTTCCCTATGTCGATCAATTACAGGAACAAGCAGGGAGTTAGGAAGAGGGGTGTTTTTGGTGCACCATTATTGAAACAAAGCTCTCTCATCTCTTAAGTTATTCATCAAAGCTTAGACAGTAATAAGCCTGTGTTATATATGAATAGTAGGAGCAGTCTTTTTTTAATTCAATAGTGCAATTTATATTTCTTCTCTCTATAAACTTGTGAAGGGCCAGTCCTTTGTGTTGGTTACATCATAATACTTTAGAGACTCCAGCACAGCCAATTAAGATACAAGGCTTCCTCAGTTCCCTTCGCGTCCTATCTTGTCAAGTCATATATTTAAAAGGAAAAAGCTACTAAAGGCAGCTATTTTATATTTGTATTTTCTTTCACACAAAAATATTTTTACAAATACTGTCCACTATTTGCACTCAAAAGGTGGAAACATAAGGGGGAAAATGTTTTGTTAGAATGTAGAATGGGAATTCATATAGAAATCCAAATCTCAATTAAGGCAAAGTTAAGGAAAAAACAGAAAAACAAAAAACCTGTGACTCTGTAGAGAATATCAGAATTTTCAAATACAGAGTAAACACACACACAGAGTAATCAATAAACTAAACCCCATATTTGCTACCAATAAATCACTTGTCAACTTGACTATAATAAACCCCAAATTCGAATTCTAACATATACCACTGCCAACAATACATACCTAAACTAGACACGCATGTTCAGACTGAGAACCAGAACCAGGAATAAAGTTGATTAAGAATAAAATTTTAGTATGCAAAAACTAAGGGGATGTGAACAGATAAGACCAAGAGCGCCCAAGCCGGACAAAGTGCATTTTCCGATTACACGTTTATTTTAGTCCTTACTGTTGGATTCAGGTAAATGATATCTTGTTGAAATTCCCAAGGTAGTGATCAGCATACTATTTATCTATGTTGAAAAGAGAACGAACGATACAAGCATTTCTCATCCAATATAGACAAGAAAAAGATTATGGGGAAAAGGCAAGGCAAAAAGCTTGCAGACAGCCTGAATCAACTAAAACTGGTTGGCAGCTTTGGGTTAAACTGATTAGGTGGCACTTTTTTGTGTGAATGGTCAGTGCATAGTGGACATCAGTCACTAGGCAGATGGAGAAACCTTACTGGCTGAACGAACGTCAGTGATTCAGCAGAACCGCGCTGTCACTTTAATAAGTTCAGTGCTGCGCCATTTCCTCAAACTCTCAAGTGACTCATCCGGAAGGTGTAGAAAGTGATTGCATAGCTATGTTCAAATGGAGGCCAGAAAAGCCCTAGCTTCATAATGAAAATAGCAGGTATGACCACAGGTTCCTTGCAGTGTTTTACAACCTAAAACCAGGCAGTATTTCGTCTAAAACGGTTACTGCTTTACTTAACGGAAGCCTTATTTTACTACCCAAGAATACCAACAATGCAACCTCAAGTTACAGAAGCGTTTCGTTTCTACCACCTTAAGATCAGGGAAAAGTGAAGCATCAAGGATGGTTTTAATCAACCCTTCTGAGCCCAAGTGTGTTTTGATGGTTTATTCACCATGTCTTTGTGCACCTTTCCTTGGATCACATAGTTTGCCCAAACACTTAACGGACTGCAAAGCAGTTTTAACCTTATGCTGAGAATGTTAGCCTTTCACTGCAAGTAAATTCTAACTTGCTTAAACAGGCCGCCCACGAACACACCGTCGTCTACTATTTTACAACCCAAGATGCTCCTACCAGGTTAGGGTCGACAGTGTTTACAAAGCTCCGTTTCTGAAAATGTGGGTGGCTCTGAAAAGAGCCTTTGGGGTTAGGTATAAAGACGCTTACGTGCAGAATCTACTTGGAGCTGGTGTACTTGGTGACGGCCTTGGTGCCCTCGGACACGGCGTGCTTGGCCAGCTCGCCGGGCAGCAGCAGGCGCACGGCCGTCTGGATCTCCCGGGACGTGATGGTCGAGCGCTTGTTGTAGTGCGCCAGGCGCGACGCCTCGCCCGCGATGCGCTCGAAGATGTCGTTGACGAACGAGTTCATGATGCCCATGGCCTTGGACGAGATGCCCGTGTCCGGGTGCACCTGCTTCAGCACCTTGTACACGTACACCGAGTAGCTCTCCTTGCGGCTGCGCTTGCGCTTCTTGCCGTCCTTCTTCTGCGCCTTGGTCACCGCCTTCTTGGAGCCCTTCTTCGGGGCAGGAGCGGACTTGGCTGGCTCAGGCATTCTGAAACCTGTGTGCACTAGAAGCACAATGGAAACAAGAAGCTGAAATCGGGTACTTATAGAGCATTTATGCTAATGAAGGATGCAATGTGAGTCTCCGTTAATTGGAAGAAAAGTACCGACTATGTCACCCGTGGGCAGAACTATGCAAATGAGGAATGTAAATGTAGCTCTGCTATTGGCTGCTTGGCCACTCTTAGTATTAGCCAATCAGAAGGCGCGATTGGCTACCCAGGAAATGGCTATAAAAGCAGCCATGTTGTTCCGCCTTTCAGCCCTTACTTTGACTTGAGCTTGGTCACTCTTGCTGTGTCTTGTGGCTTAACTATGTCTGGTCGCGGGAAGCAAGGCGGCAAGGCTCGCGCAAAAGCGAAGTCTCGCTCTTCTCGTGCGGGTCTGCAGTTCCCCGTGGGCCGCGTGCACCGGCTGCTGCGCAAGGGCAACTACGCCGAGCGCGTCGGCGCGGGCGCTCCCGTGTACCTGGCGGCCGTGCTCGAGTACCTGACGGCTGAGATCCTGGAGCTGGCGGGCAACGCGGCGCGCGACAACAAGAAGACGCGCATCATCCCGCGCCACCTGCAGCTGGCCATCCGCAACGACGAGGAGCTCAACAAGCTGCTGGGCCGCGTGACCATCGCGCAGGGCGGCGTGCTGCCCAACATCCAGGCCGTGCTGCTGCCCAAGAAGACCGAGAGCCACCACAAGGCCAAGGGAAAGTAATTTCAGAGACTACAGCTAACGGAAGACACTATCAAACCCAAAGGCTCTTTTCAGAGCCCCCTCACCTTTCTCGGGAAAGAGCTGACACTAGTCACAAGTAAGGGGGAAAGCACTGAGGTGAAACAAGAACTAAACCAGGATAGTAATCTGCTTTAGTCTTAATAAGGCTGAATGTTACAGGTTATGGAATATGGCTTATTTTGGAAGGGGCAAGCCATACAATAACGCAAGTTAAATGATAGTTTATCCAGGGGAATTTAGTTTCGGTTTTGATTGGGCACGATTACTAACTCCATAAAGCGCCTCGTCCTACAATTTTCAGATGCGCTTCTAAATTACCCGGAGTGATGACAACCCAGGTTAGCAATTTACTAGCGCCACCCCAACTGTGACTTGTCCCTTGGCCACACCCTCTAGGCTGTTTGGCATAGCTGATTGACAGCTGACTTAACTTTTCATCAGCTCAAAGCCCTGCTTAACTTTAGAATGATCTGAAACTAGCAGGGTTTCTGAAAAGCTCCAAGTACTTAGTGCACATAGTGTAACAGCGCAGACCAAAACGCAGTTTTTGACCCAATTTCTAATCCTGGAACTGTTTTTACTTCTTTGGGTGTATCCCAACCAGTAAAAGCGTTTTCTGTAACCAGGAGTTTGTCATTCAACCAATAGGAGTTAATTAAGAGGCTCAAATACCTAGAATTTCAGTGACATCAGAAAAGCAGGTCGAGTGGAGCCCAACATCCCCCCAAATTGTTCCTACTACGAATCTGCTAACACGTTGTGGGGATCCTAGGCCAGGTGCACAGCTGTAGAGTGGTCTGTCACTGGAAACTCCAAGGAAGCATTTTGCAGCGTGCTGTGAACCTGTTGATTTTAACTGATCCTATGGATGCACATACTTTGAAAGTGATACCTAGTCCAAGTTGTGTATAAGCAGTCTCCCACACTCCCTTCTCTCTCTCACATCCTCCTTTAGCAGTCTCTCTCAAAAGGAAAGGATTGGATGTACAGTCTGGTGAAAGCCACATGTGGGAAACCAAGTGACCACCTTCATGATCGCACATTAGAATTTCTGGAAGTTTTTAAAGATATAACAGTTTTTATGAATGACCAGGTTTGGAATCCTCACACATGAGGGAATGCCAGCCTGTCACCTCCCGGTTCTGAGGATCAGATCCCTTCCACCCAGCACTTCATGTAGTTGAAGACTTTGGATCCTTAGTTGTTTTATGTGAGGGCTGCGATCCTTACCACGAACCTGCCGGGTTTCCTTTGAACCCATCTCAAACTGTGTGGATGTGTGACACAGGCCTATGATGCTTCTGGGCTCTCCAGTAGCCTATCTTATGATCTCACTTAACTTCAATTTTCTCCTCAAGGTTCTATTTCCAAACTGAGTCTCTGTAGGGAAAGCTCTAGTGAACAACAAACTTGGAGCTTCATTTGGTTTCCACTGTGTATGCAGTCTCCATCTACCTTGCCTTAAGAATACTAGGGCAGTTCTGGGAAAATGCTGTATCTAGGCTTTTGATTACCTAGTCACCAGAGACCAAATTCTGTCTGGAAGAGCTACTAAGACATGAGACTTGAGTACAATCGTTATTTGACAAGATAGGATATCCTGAACACACCAGATCAGTGTAATATCACCGATTTTAATATTCCTTTATAAAATTAATGTATGTAGTAGTATCCCTGGCATTGTTCCACATCATGTGCACTCAGTTTCTATTCTATAGCATTTGGAACCCTTTCTTACACAAATGATACATTTTACAACACTATCTAAAACATAGCAAATATTTTATGGAAAGATTTAAGTTTTTTATGAATAGTTGTAAGTTGTCTTCTCGGGGTTACTAATTGTTGATCCTATCATAATTATGTTTATATAGTCCGGTTAAGTGTAAGACACGTATATTTGGAAGATTTCTGAAATTTAATGAAGCCACAAGACTCTCTCTTCTCTATTATGTTCTAATACCTTAGAAAAGATTAGCATCATTAGGAAATCTACTGAAAGGCAGTCATTGGCTAAACTAACACCTAGAAAGCAACCAATAAGCAGGTAAATCAATAAAACTAGAGAAAAGCACAGCTGTTGTAGCTTTAAAAATTAGCATATAGCATGTAGGCTTCAAAATGAAGTGAACCGTGAGAACGTGAATTCGCATAGTTCTACTGAGTACCAGAAACTCACTGCATTTCAGCTGCTTACATTAAACTTTGGTTAGAGAGGAAAACCAGCATCTCTTAGTATGTAGACCTCACTTACATGACTTTAGTTGAAATTGTTTCTGAAAGAAATAAGAGTGCTAAGCTTCATATTTGCCAGCATAAGTATACTCTATTAGTATAGAGTTAGTGAAATTGGCTTCTTATTGGAACTTAGACTTTCATGACATCCTTCACTATCTGTCGAAGTCTACTGAAGCTGTCTCAATAAAATGCCAGCAGAGATTATTTATAAATAAACACAGGTTTATCTTTTTCATGGTTCATGGTTGGCTTCCGGCGAAGCTTTCTTCTGGCTTGAGGATGTCTGCCACACCTTGCGTGTTCACATGGCTTTTCTTTGATGTTTCTCTGGAGAGACAGCTCTGGTATCTATTTCTCATCTCATGAAGGATTATAGAGGGACTTTTAAAAATATTGAAAGAGTTATAAAGAAAGAGAGAGAGGCACACAGAAAGAAAGATCTTTCTTCCTCTGGTTCACTCCCCTAATGCCTGCAGTGGCCAGGGCTGGGCCACTGAAGCCAGGAGTGAGGAGCTTTACCTCTGGGGAGGATGCAGCGACCTGAGGATTTGGGTCTTCTTCCGCTGCCTTTTCATACACACTAGTTGTGAGTTGGACTGAAAGTAGAACAACCAGAATTCAAAAGGCCCCTCTCATATGATCTTACTTAACTTCATTTATCTCCTCAAGGCTCTGTTTTGAAATTGAGTCTCTTAGGGCCTTAGACTTCAACATATGAATTTTTACAGATAATTCATCCTATGGTTATTACCCAGGCCCACTAAAATTTAGATCCTTCTCCCATGCAAACCGTATTAATTCCTTCCAAAAACCGAAAGTCTTAATTCAGTAGCCTTAGTTCTAAGAAACAAAACATCATCTCAATATGACTTAAATCGAGTATGAGTGAGGCTCAGTTTATAGTGAGGCAAAATTTCCCTCCAGCTGTGAACTGTGATATCAAACATGTCATGTGTTTCTAAAATTGAATGATAATATACATGCATAGAATAGACATTCCCATTCCAAAGGGGAGACAGGAAAAAAGGAAGGGGATGTATGTTATGCAACTCTGAAACCTTGTAAAGCAAATGCCAGTAGGTCCAAAGGTTTGAGAATAATCCTCTTCAGTATGTTGCCTTGTAATTCCAGGGCAGCGATATGGCAGGTTCACCTCCTTGGCTTCCCAAGTAACATCTTTTTGCTTTGTCTGTGCCCCACCCCTTCACTTTGGTGGGATACTATCCATCAGATTGCTAATGAAAGATTTATTCCAACAACTTTGCAGGGTATCTGTTGAAACTGAAGTAGAGACAACATTGTCTGCTCACTGCTGCAACACTACCTCACCCCGCCAGGGACTCTGATCCTGGGGTGAGAATGGCAACCCTTAGGATCTCTGATGAGCCCTTAGAATCCTTCTTCCTTTTTCTTTAGCTACAACACATTGACAGCCAGATAGTTTTACGATGCCTTAGAGAATTCACAAAGTCTGCCAGACATCCTTCATTTCATCTCATCTAGTAAAGTTCAAATTCTGATGTGATGCAAACTTCCTGGTTTCTGCTGAGATGATTGATTAAATATTAGAATATTTTTTAACTTTTGCTTTGTGAAAGCTTTCTGAAGTTTTACAATGTGGATAGGTTGAATATTTTCTAAATTTTCCAAATTCAGCTTCATCCTTGCTTCATAATTCATTCTTCAATTTGTTTTTTCTTTGACACATTCCTATAAATGAAAAGGAAGATCTAAACCACATATTAAATACTCTGCTTGGAAATCTCTGGTGAATATCCAGTTTTCTTGTCTGTGGGTTCTGACTTTCACCAAACACTAGCGCATTGTTCATCCAGGTTTTTTGCCACTTAATAACAAAACCACCTTTCCCACAGTCTACAAACCTGCCCCTCCTTTCCATCCTCAGCTGAACGGGCTTTTGTTCATTTTAACCAACTGGTAAACTCATTATTATTCATGTGATCTCCAAGAAAATAGATTTTCTCTCAAACTTGTCTTGTTTCTGTTTGAGCCCTCATTGGAATTGCCTTAGTGTCAATGTTTATCCATAGTTCCTTCAGGGTGATTGGTCATTGAAGCTAGAGCCTCATAATTCATCCCTTATTCGTCACTCTGACTCAGTGCTACTTCTACATATTGAGATATTTGTGGTAGCAGCACCTTTAGCCTCTTTATACCAAAATCTATTATTATGCTTGAGTTTAGACTGGATAGCTCAACAACAGAAATGTTGTTTCTATTATGAAAGCTGGAAGTCTGAAACCAAGACACCAACTGGGCAGATTCCTAATGAGATGCTCTCCTGGGCTCTGGGTTATCTTGAACACTAGGCTAATGGGGACATTACATTTTCTCTCTTCTTTTTCTTTCTTTCTTTCTTTCTTTCTTTCTTTCTTTCTTTCTTTCTTTCTTTCTTTCTTTCTTTCTCTCTCTTTCTTTCTTTTTTCTTTCTTTCTCTCTTTCTCTTTCTTTCTTTCTTTTTTCTTTCTTTCTTTTTTCTTTCTTTCTTTCGTTCTTTCTCTCTTTCTTTCTCTCTATCTCCTTCTCTTTTTCTCTCTTTCTCTCTTTCTTTCCTTATTTAGCAACCAGAGCTGAATATAGAAGGATTTGACTTTCTACCAAAATCCATTATCCTTACATGAACTACCCACTTCAAAATGCCCAGAGTCTTCTGTGTTCCAAGTTTATAAATTGTGGAACTTGGTGCTGGTCTCTATTCTACACTCTGTCATCTTTGATAGTTTTATTTAAATTATGATTTTGAAGACCACCTATATGCAATGAAACTCCATATTTGTATTCTCAGCCCTGACTTCATCTTGAAGTGTAAATGTAACGAACCAGACATTTACCACACATCATTACTTGGGGCTTTAACAGGCCTCTCGGTCCAAATGCTTTGAAGATGCAAGCATTTTTAAGCCTCCATGTCTGTAAATGGCACTATACCATAAATCCCACTACTCAAATCAGTGTTGAAGGAATAAGACCTGCTACTTTCCCTTCATCTCCACAAAGGCAAGCTATCTTTTAATCACGTCTCCAGCACCGTCAGTATATATTCTTTTTCATTCTGTATTCTTGACACTGGCTCAAGGAGACTCCTGTGATGGAAGGGTGTCCTTATTAGGCAAGAAGAAACTACGATGCCAGTGTAAAGGTACACAGGCCACATAATGAAAAAGATGAGAAATAACATTTACAAATTGGGTACTAGCAAAAGGCATTCTACGATAAAAGATCTGGAACACACAATATGTCGGGTTAATTCTCACTCACAAAGAAAACTCCAAACTCTTAGAGAAAGAATAAACAACATAACATTTTACAAATAAGTAGGATATGTGTTTAGGTTTTTAGTAAATCCAAATAAACATGCATTGAGAAAAAATTTGGGATTTCTCCTTCTTGGAGCCATTTTCATGATGCTGCACAGGAGGTTTCCATCTTTCTGTAGTTAAATTATGCATATTTTAAAGATATATTTATTTTTATTGGAAAATTAGATTTACAGAGAGAAAGATAAAGAGAAAGATCTCTTTCCACTGACTCACTCCACAAATGGATGCAATGGCTGCAGCTGAGCTGATCCGAAGCCAGGAGCCAGGAGCTTCTTCCAGGTCTCCCACATAGGTGCAGAGTCCCAAAGCTTTGGGCCATCCTCTATTGCTTTCCTAGGCCACAAGCAAGGAACTGGATGGGAAGTGGGACATGAACCAGTGCCCATATGGGTTCCCAGCAAGTAGAAGTTGAGAACTTTAGCCACTAGAATACTGTGCTAGGTCCAAATTATCCATATTATAGTAACAAAGGGAGACAGTTTCTCACCTATGTCAGAAAAGTTTTAATACAGATAAGCTTAAAAGCAATATTGCAGCCCCACACTGTGGCCTAGCAGCTAAAGTCCTTGTCTTCATTGCACTGGGATCCCATATGGGCGCTGGTTCTAATCTCAGCAGCCCCACTTCCCATCCAGCTCCCTGCTTGTGGCCTGGGAAGGCAGTCTAGGATGGGCCAAAGTCTTGGGACCCTGCATCCCTGCATGGGAGACCTGGAAGTGCTCCTGGCTTCAGATTGGCCCAGTTTGGGCCATTGCGGTCAACTATGGAGTGAATCATCGGAGGGAAGATCTTTCTTTCTGTCTTTCCTCCTCTCTATATATCTGACTTTACAGTAAAAATAAATAAATCTTTAAAAGAAATCAATAATGGTCAAAATTTCTGAGATTGATGCAGACTTGCCATTTTTGTGCAATGATAATAATTTGTTCTTGCAATAGCTATTAAAATTTACTAACAGATACTTGGGAAGAGACAAGGGCATCTATATGTAGAAAAAAAAAGCCCCATGATGTAAGGTTATATGTGTAAGAACTCTTGTTCAACATTGAAATGAGACCAACTATAGGTTCCATTGTGTAATGGTTAGCACTCTGGACTCTGAAATGAGACCAACCACAATTGAAAATTTAATATTTTTATAATCAGACTAAGTAGCATAAGGTGAACCTGAACAATTGGGCATACATTCGTACCACGAACTATTAAACAGCTCCCAAACACAATTTGTCAGTGCACTGGAGTCCCAAACTATGAGAATCACATTGTATACAAAGAGATGTAGAAGGAAACTGGTCACACTGTTCAGCTCAGAGAGGTGAAAATAAAATGTGACAGAGGGAACTTATTCATTTTCATAAATATCCGGAAATGTTAAAATAAGCATGCATTCATATTTTAAGTAGAAAATGAGAAACAAAAAATAAGTTTGCTCTTTTTGCTCCCCAATCTAAATTATTTTCTATCCACCATAAAGCACAGTGTGGGATCCTATTTCTCAGTTTTTCTGACTTGCATTTCTTAATTGGAACGCTACTCCACAAAGCAGGCACTTGGAACGTCTAATCACCATTGTGTCTTGACTCTTCATGGACACTCGTATATCTGAAGATGAATCAGAGAAGAGATGGATTCACCCAGAGTGTCCATTTATTACCAAACATGTATTTATCCAAATTTCCATATAAAAAGAAACCTTGTTCATGCAAGACCTATTTACATGATGCAGCTATCAAAAACACAGTGAAATGTGGAATTACATACAATTTATCTCCCACACTCTACCCTTTTCCTGGTGTGTAAATAACACTCAGCAGGCTTGGCATCTCACAGTAACACTCACCTGTATAGGTAGCCAGTAATTCAGTGAAGAGTCTGTTGTGTGCTGATTGCTTTTATGCATAAAAGAATCATCTTGAATACATTCTGAACCTTTGGTTTATATATGTTTGCCTATTCTTGTGGAAAGAAAAGATCCTTCAGTAAGTGTGTGTGTAACCAGATCACTGCTATTTCATGGAATAAGAGAATCTGCTAACGGAAATTTGGCAGTTCTTAATGCTGGAATTATCTAGTCACCACCCTCATCTACATGGTGAGTGTACTGAAGAATTATATGCTACCTATCTCTGTATCCTAGCAGTTCTGGTCCTTTCCATAGATCTTCAGAAAATACTTTTACTGAAGCAACTCATTCTCAAACTGAGTATCTTTGGGAAATAGTGTAATTACTTTATAAGCAGCAGGAATTTGTAAATTTACTCCTGGATTATATACCATTTTAGTTATCATTTAATCTAAAATTCCAGTTACTAAATTTTGTTAGAAATATACAACTAGGGCCCGGCACAATAGCATAGTGTCCTCACCTAGTATGCCCAGGATCCCATATGGTCGCCGGTTCTAATCCCTGCAGACCTGCTACCCATCCAGCTTCTGCTTGTGGCCTGAGAAAACAGTCGAGGATGGCCCAAAGCCTTGAGACCCTGCATCCGCATGGGAGACCCGGAAGAGCTCCTGGCTCCTGGCTTCAGATTGGCTCAGCTCCAGCTGTTGCAGTCACTTGGGAAGTGAACCATAGGATGGAAGATGTTCCTCTTTGTCACTCATCCTCTCTGTATATCTGACTTTGCAATAATAATAAATAAATCTTAAAAAAAAAAAAAAAGAAGCACACAACTAATTCTAGAGCTATGTTCTCAAATACAGTAGTCATTATCCACATTTAAATTATAAATTGAATAATGAAGTTAAAATTTCAGTGTCTCAATCACAGTAATCAAATTCCAAGATGAAGGTGGCTGCTGTATTTTGGCAACACAGATATGGAACATGTTTATCATCTCAAAATTCTAAGAGATAACACTGAGCTAGGTCCTCTCCTCAGTCTGAGTTAGCAAGTTCAAGTGCACAACTTCCACCAGGCAGCATCTGAGGATGAGCTTTCCAGATAAAATACAGAATACCAGTTCAGTTCAGATTTGAGATAACCAAAAATGAACTGCCTTAATATGATTCCTCTCCTCCCTGTATTTCATGAGACATGCTAAACTGAAAAAAGCGAAGTCCTAGAACTGCTATTGATTCAGATTTCACATTTTGTTTTATTAAGCAAATATTAAGAGCAAAATTGAGGCATCTTCCCCAGGATGCTGAGTCCTTTGCTCTCAGAAAGTGTGTTACTTGGAAGGAGGCTAACGCATTATAAGGAAAATGTTCTCTAACCTTTTCTTTATGAAAATTAAGGAAAAATTAAGAAGGTTCTTAACTATATTTACTTTGATTTCTTCTCTCCTTTAGGTTTCAAAATCTGCAATACCCCAAATACTTGAACTGGAATGTTTGCCAAATCCAGCAATTCTAAATGGATGGATGAATAGAATGATTCTTCATCATGAAACTCTCTATTTGTATTTTTTTTCCTATGAAAAGCTTAGCCAACATTTATTTCTTTGGGTTTATATGTGGGCATTGGAAATCAGATGATTAGAGGGGGGGAAAGATTTAACTTTGGAAAGATTTTCTTTAGTACTAAATATGTCAAACTGTAAGAGCAGGGTTAATTTATAGGGTTGAAACAACCTGAGAGAAGTAACTACACTGAAAACCAACCCCCTTATATTCTCTGAGGCGGTCACCTTTTCTTCTTACAACAATGCAGTGTTACCACATGCTTCCATCAGTCCAGCATATATATGTGAATATATATATAAAACATACGTATATATATGCAGATTTACATGTATGTGTGTGTGTGTGCCTTATTCCCTCCTATTCATCCTTACAAGGGAGCAGGCAGCACAAATCAGTCTATACATACTCCCCTCATAACAATATGTCTTGGAGAATTTTCCGTGAGCGTATGTGAAGTCTCGTGTTTGTTGTTAAACAGT